AACCATTAATGTATTTTCTGTCTCTATGGATTTGCCAATTCTGGACATTTCATGTTAAGGAAATTACACAATTTTAAATTTAAATTTCAGCTGGGTGTAGTGGCTCATGCCTGTAATCCCAGCACTTTGGGAGGCTGAGGCGGGCAGATCACGAGGTCAGGAGATTGAGACCATCCTGGCTAACGCGGTGAAACCCTGTCTCTACTAAAAAATACAAAAAATTAGCCAGGCATGGTGGCAAGCGCCTGTAGTCCTGGCTACTTGGGAGGGTGAGGCAGGAGAATGGCGTGAACCCGGAAGGCAGAGCTCACAGTGAGCCAAGATCGCGCCACCGCACTCCAGCCTGGGCAACAGAGCAAGACTCCATCTCAAAAAAAAAAAAAGGTAAAATTTCAAGATTCATCTCTACATTTTGACTTGGACAGAAGCATGGGAGAAATGAAACTACCATATAGATATACTGTAAATCTAATAATTACTAAAGAATCTGGCAAGGATTCCTGAAGTATCATTCAAATCAAGTCAATATTTTAGGCAATTTGAGGGGTGGGAGGTGGAGGAGGGCTAATTACCCAAGAAATGTAGTATTGCTAGTATCTAAGAAATGTATTTTCTTTAAAGCAAATATATATTTTCTTTAAGACCTCTACATTTTAAGTTCACCAGCAAATTCCTAAGAAATTTTCAGGTTAGGCCGGGCACAGTGGCTCACGCCTATAATCTCAGCACTTTGGGAGGCTGAGGCGGGTGGATCACGAGGTCAGGAGATCGAGACCATCCTGGCTAATATGGTGAAACCCCATCTCTACTAAAAATACAAAAAAATTAGCCAGGCATGATGGCAGGCACCTGTAATCCCAGCTACTCGGGAGGCTGAGGCAGGGGAATTGCCTGAACCTGGGAGGCAGAGGTTGCAGTAGGCTGAGATTGCGCCACCGCACTCCAGCCTGGGTGACATAGCCAGACTCCGTCTCAAAAAATAAATAAATAAAAATAAAAATAAAAAAATAAATTTTCAGCTTAATCTTTTTCTCAGCATAATACCATATATATGTGGCTTCTCACAACCTTTAAAAATTATTTACATATTTTAAGTACTAACAAAATTAGTTTTTGAGCTATAGTTTGTATACTATACAATTTAACTTTTCAAGGTACGTAATTCAGTGGTTTTTAGTATATTCACAAGGCTGTGCAACCATCCCCAGTATGTAATTCCAGAACATTTTCATCATCCCAATAAAGAAATATGGGGCCTGTTAGCAGCTCTCCATGCCTCCCTTCCCTTTCCCCAGTCCCTGGCAACCATTAATCTATTTTGTCTCTATGGATTTGCCAATTCCGGACATTTCATGTTAAGGAAATTACACAATATGTAGCCTTTTGTGTCTGGTCTCTTTCACTTAGCATAATGCTTTCAAGGTTCATCCATGCAGTAGTATGTATCAATATTTCATTACTTTTTATGGCTAAATAATACATCTACAACATTTTGCTTATCCATTCATTAGTTAACGGACGTTTGGATTGTTTCCATTTTTTGACTTTTATGAATAACATCACTATGAACGTGTGTGTACAAGTTTTAGCATGGATATATATGTTCAGTTCTATTGGGAATATATCTAGGAAAGGAATTGCTGGATTATATAGTAACTCTATGTTTAACTTTTGGAAGAACAGCTAGACTGTTTTCCAAAGTGGCTGCATATTTTACATCCCACCTGCAATGTATGAAGGTTCCAATTTATCCATGTCCTAGCCAACACTTGTTATTGTTCCTGTTTCTGATTATAGCAATTCTAGTGAGTATGAAATGGTATCCCATTGTAGTATTGACTTGTATTCCCCTGATGACTAATGATGTTGAACATCTTTTCATCTTATTACCCATTTCTGTATCTCTTTGGAGAAATGTCTGTTCAGATCTTCTGCTCACTTTTTTTTTTTTTTTTTTTTTTCAGTTGGCAAGAATTTTACTGCCATATGTCAACCACAATTAACCTCCCTTTTTTTTTTTTTTTTTGAGACAGAATCTCGCTCTGTCACCTAGGCTACAGTGCAGTGGCGCAATCTCGGCTCACTGCAAGCTCCGCCTCCCAGTTTTATGCCATTCTCCTGCCTCAGTCTCCCGAGTAGCTGGGACTACAGGCGCCCGCCACCACATCCAGCAAATTTTTGTTTTTGTTTTTGCTTTTTTTTGTATTTTTAGTAAAGACGGGGTTTCACCATGTTAGCCGGGATGGTCTTGATCTCCTGACCTCGTGACCCACCCGCCTCGGCCTCCCAAAGTGCTGAGATTACAGGCGTGAGCCACGGTGCCCAGCCTGCTCATTCCTAAAAATCGGGTTATCACATGAATTATAAAGATCCTCTACATATTCTGGATTCTAAACATTATATAAATGATTTACAAATACTTTCCCCCATCCTATGCCTCATCATTTTACATTCTTTGTAGTATACTTTGAAGCACAAATGTTTTAAATGTTGATGATACACAATTTATTTTTTCTTTGGTTGCATGTACTTTTGGTATCATATGTAAGAAAGAATTGCCTAATCCAAGGTCAAGAATATTTATACCTGTGGATTTTTTCTAATAGTTTTATAGTTTTAGCTCTTATATTTAAGTCACTGATCAATTTTGAGTTAATTTCTCATAATTTTTTGAAATGAAAATTAACTACTGTAAGGGCAAATGTCACCCACATAGAAATGGTCATTTCAAAATAGCTTCAAAAGGTATTAAAAGTCAGTGGTAAAAGATATATAAAATATTTTTAATTAAAAGTTTTAGCTCAGATAATATTAAACCAGTGGTTCTCAAACCCAAGTGATGCTGAGGCTGCTGGTCTGGGGACTACACTTTGAGAACCACTATTCTGAACCATAATTTCGGATTATGAACCCTGTTTAAGTCAGTTTAGTTGACACATAAGTTATAGAAAGAAGCAACTTTTAGAATGAGAAATCCTTTCTGCTAGGTTGTAACCAGATTTTTAAAAGGTTTGACTTGAGATTTTAATTGAATAGACATCTTGTGGAATATATAAATGTTAAAAGATGTGGAAAGTGAGGCCAGGAAAAGTGAAGGGAATCAAGCATGGCTAATAGCTATGGGTGGCAGAATAACTGTTGTTATACAACCCAGGGTTTCTGGATTCTCCAGGCTATTTCCAAAACAGCTTATACATGTAACAAACCTTCCATGTTGAAATAATCTGAGGATAATGCCACCTATATTTAATATAAATTAAATGCTAGTAAAGCCTTTTTTTTTTTAAGCTATGTTTTTTAATACTCTTCTACTGACTATGATGGACAGTCTACTTCAAACTTTTCCAACCCCGTCCCGCACGTGGCACAGGACGGCTTTGAATGTCGCCCAACACAAATTCGTAAACTTTCTGAAAGCATTATGAGATTTTTTTGCGATTTTTTTTTAAAGCTCATCAGCTATCTTAGTGTTTGTGTATTTTATGTGTGGCCCAAAGACAATTCTTCCGATGTGGCCCTGGGAAGCCAAACGATTGGACACCCTTGGTCTACTTCCAAGAAGCCTACTGCAGTTTCTCAAGGAAAATAAATAAATAAATTAATTAAATAACTCACAACCAGAAAATCGGACTAGTAAAACTGTAATTCTAGGCTTAGAAAGAATCTTGGGACGGCTGGGCGCGGTGGCTCGCTCCTGTAATCCCAGCACTTTGGCAGGCCGAGGCGGGCGGATCACCTGAGGTCAGGAGTTCGAGACCAGCCTGACCAACATGGAGAAACCCCGTCTCTACTAAAAATACAAAAATTAGCATGCCTGTAATCCCAGCTACATGGGAGGCTGAGGCAGGAGAATCACTTGAACCCAGGAGGCAGAGGTTTCGGTGGGCCGAGATCGCACCATAGCACTCCAGCCTGGGCAACAAAGAATGAAACTCCGTCTTTTTTTTTTTTTTTTTTTTGAGACGGAGTCTGGCTCTGTCGCCCAGGCTGGAGTGCAGTGGCCGGATCTCAGCTCACTGTAAGCTCCGCCTCCCGGGTTCCCGCCATTCTCCTGCCTCAGCCTCCCGAGTAGCTGGGACTACAGGTTCCGCCACCTCGCCCGGCTAGTTTTTTGTTTTTTAGTAGAAACGGGGTTTCACCGTGTTAGCCAGGATGGTCTCGATATCCTGACCTCGTGATCCGCCCGTCTCGGCCTCCCAAAGTGCTGGGATTACAGGCTTGAGCCACCGCGCCCGGCCGAAACTCCGTCTTAAAAAAAAAAAAAAAAGAATCCTGGGACAACAGTACTTCACGTTTCTGGAATGCCTCCATCTTTGTGAGGCTAAGTACGCGCTTTCTGCATTCTGTTGTGTACTTTTATCTTTACTCCTGATTCAACTTGTATCAGGCAATTGCAAGTGCTTTACCTAACGAGAAAATGCAAGAGCGACGTGCACCGTCTCCGCTGCGCGATTCCAGAGCCGGCGCAGGGGTCCAGCCGGGTCTGAAGTTTCCCGTCAGCCGCGCCTGGGGCTTGGGACAGCCACGGCCAAACGGCCCGCGACGCCCGTCCCAGTTCAGAGGCGCAAGAAAGGCCTGGGGACACCGACGTGAGAACCAACGCCCACGTTTCTGCGTGGACAACTCGGGCGCCTGAGGGACGCACTCGGGCCCCAGCGGGAGAAAAGCAGGGACAGGCCGAGTCCATTCGGGGCCCCGCCTCACACCGCCCCGGGGTGGGCAGGGGCGGGCGGGAGCCGCGCGAAGAGGCGGTCGGCGGGGCTCGGCGCACAGGACGCCGCGGGGGCACGGCCGCCAGGGGCCCTGAAGCACTAGGCCCCAGCGCCCTTCTCCTACCTCACGCTGAGGGAAGCGAGCGACAGTGAGTCGGGCCCGGGGAGGACGCGGCAGTTGGTCAAAGCGCGACGCCGAGCGGTTGCCAAACGCGGAATCCAAGGAAGCCGCTCCCACAGTCCTCCGCGCGGGGGCGGGCGGGGCCGGAAGCGCGGGGGCGGAGGGAGCGCGGCGGGAAGCGGGTGGCGCGGGCTGCCGGGGGAAGTGAGTGGGGGCGGAGAATGGCGGGTCAGAGAGGAGGGAGCCAGGTAGCCCCCGGTGGAAAGGAGCGGCGGTGCGCGGAGGGTGTGGAGGGAAAGGAGTGGCGGTGCGCGGAGGGTGTGGAGGGAAAGGAGCGGCGGTGCGCGGAGGGTGTGGAGGGAAAGGAGCGGCGGTGCGCGGAGGGTGTGGAGGGGACTGTGCCAGCGGCTTGCGGGAAGCCGGGCGATGCGGGGAGAGCGGCGGAGGAGAGGGCATGGAGGCCGGGGCCTCCCGGGGAAGGGAACCCGGGGGGCTGGGAGGCTGGGGGCGGCCTGTGAGAAGGGCGGGGAGGGAAAGGCTGGCGGCTAGTATATGCTGGAGGGAGGAGGGCCTGGAGGGGCTCCGGGCTGGCGGCCTCTGTGAGGAAGGGGAAGGATCTGCAACCAAGATCATTTAAATCCTGATAAACTTGTCCGTAAAGCAGATGCCCAAAGGATGATAAGAAGCTTACTGTGAAATGGCTCGCGGAGCCGCAGCTCGAGCCTTGTGAGCCTTGGAAGCCCATTTTCCGCGCAGTCACTAACTCGCCTAGTCACCCAGTGTAAAAGTTATTCTCGGATGACACGTGCCTGGGAAGTCTCACCTTTCCCCCCACCTCCTCCTGTCTGCGTATTGTTCTGTAGCACCCCGTGCACGCCTTGATTGTAGCGCTTAAGGCGTCAGTTTTATTTACTAGAGAGGGATAAAACTGTATCCATTGTGTCCATTGTGTCCCAACCTCCTAGAACGTGGGTCGTAGTGTAAAGCTTAATAAATGTAATATAAATGGGGAATTAAATTCATAATTGTTTAATGTTTCGTTTTGTCTTAAATTTTAAAAGTAAATGTTGGGGGTGTGGGGGGAGACAGAGTCTAAAGACACCAGTAATTAATGGTTTTTTAAAAAAATAAGCAGTGTTGGCTGGGCACAGTGGCTCATGCCTATAATCCCAGCACTTTGGGAGGCTGAGGCGGGCGGATCACCTGAGGTCAGGAGTTGGAGACCAGCCTGGCCAATGTGGTGAAACCCTGTCTCTACTGAAAATAGAAAAATTAGCTGGGCGAGGTGGCGGGCCCCTGTAATCAATCCCAGCTACTCAGGAGGCTGAGGCAGGAGAATTGGTTGAAGGCGGAGGTTGGAGTGAGCCGAGATCGCGGCATTGCACTCCAGCCTGGGCCAGGAGCGAAACTCCTTCCCCCAGCTTTGCCAAAAAAAAGTAGTGTTGGGAGACAATTCTCATGGGTCCCCTGCACTTTCCCATGTTTTGTGAGCAGAGAGACTGTCTTTGTTCTGGACTATTACGATGGCTAGTTTTATGTGTCAACTGGGTTTGTGTGTGCAACCCAGTTTTTGGTCAAACACCAGTCTAGAAGGTATTTTTTAAGATGTGATTAACAGTTAAATTAGACTTGAGTAAAGCAGTTGGTCCTCCACAATGTGCGTGGGTCTCGTCCAGTCAAGGGAAGGTCATAAGAGAAAAGACTAAGGTCCTCTGAGGAAGAAGGAATCCTGCCCCCAGACTGCCCTCGGCTCTTTCCTGGGTCTCTAGCCTGACCTGCAAATTTTAGGCTTGCCAGTGTTTATAAACTTTTGCTGCTGCAAAAGAAATAGCACTTGAATATAAAATTTCCTTTTTTTCTTCTCAGCAAGGCAATTTGCTTCTGTAGAAGGGTGCGCCCTTACAGATGGAGCAATGGTGGGAGCACACCTGGACAAGGGAGGGGAAGGGGTTCTTCTTCGTGGCCCTGCTGCTGTGTCCTTCCCCTGTTGGCTAACGTTAGACCGCACAGGCTAAACTAATTCCGATTGGCTAATTTAAAGAGAGTGACGGGGTAAGTGGTCTGCTGGGAAATATGGTTATGGCAGAGCAGGAAATCGGAATGAGTCAGGGTGGAGAATGAATGGGGCAGAGCAGGTAATTGAAAAAGATTGCTTGAGGAGGAAGTTGTTTGTTGTTTGTTTGTTTGTTTTTTATTTAAGACAGTCTCACTCTGTAGTCTAGGCTGGAGTGCAGTGGCAGGATCTTGGCTCACTGCAAGCTCTGCCTCCTGGGTTCTCCTTCCTCAGCCTCCGGAATAGCTGAGACTACAGGCGCCCACCACCACGCCCAGCTTATTTTTTATATTTTTAGTAGAGAGGGGTTTCACTGTGTTAACCAGGATGGTCTTGATCTCCAGACCTCGTGATCCGCCTGCCTTGGCCTCCCAAAGCACTGGGATTACAGGCGTGAGCCACCACGCCTGGCCAGAACTTAAGTTTAAAAGTAGAAGACAAATAATTGAACATATTGACATATTGATTCTTTGAAGAGAACTTTGGAACTCATATCAAACACCAGCCTCCAATTGCGTGTCAATTCCTTCAAATAAATCTCTCTCTGCAATATGCATCCTATTAGATCTGTTTCTATAGGGAACTCTGATTAATACACCTTTTCAAGGAAGAGCTTTGGAAGATTAAGATATTTGTTTCCTTCTGGAACAAAAGACAGGTTTGTTGCTGTTCAGCTTAATAAAGATAACGTCACCCTCCGTGGCAAAGACTGAGCATGTTGGCTTGCAGTTCATTGTAGAAGATTGGACTTTCCTGAACTTGGTGTACCTGGGCAGTAAAACCAATCACGTGTGCAGCATGCACCTGGACTGTCCCCATGGGACTTGGAAGAGCAAGGGGAACCAAAGGGAATATGAAGCCCAGGCTGCTGGCTGTGTTGTGAAAAATAAAGCCCTTTCTGACTCAGGTGTTTTCTGCCATAATTCGTGGAACTGTTAGATGAGCTTGTTAGCTTGCAGGTAGGGTAAAATCTAACACGATTCTGAATAGTATCTAGGTATACTGTACCCAGCTCGTAGCAGTTGTTCAAGAAATATTTGTTGAATTAATTAGTGAATACTGGGGAGCCTTATTTCAAGTTACTCTCCCTCTATAGAGACAATTTGCATCATTCCTGGATCTCTAAACTATAAATGTTCAGTCCCCTCAAATAATTTTTTTAAATTAGGTACAAAGTTATTTCAACTTGGTTGCGTTTTTTTGTGTGTTTTTTTGTTTGTTTTTGTTTTTTTGAGGCAGAGTCTCACTTTGTCACCCAGGCTGGAGTACAGTGGTGCCATCTCGGCTCACTGCAACCTCTGCCTCCCAGGTACAAACGATTCTGCTGCCTCAGCCTCCCGAGTAGCTGGGACTACGGGCGTGAGCCAGCACAGCTGGCTATTGTTTGTATTTTTAGTAGAAATGGGGTTTCATCATGTTGGCCAGGCTGGTCTCGAACTCCTGACCTCGTGTGATCCGCCCGCCTCTGCCTCCCAAAGTGCTGGGATTACAGGCATGAGCCACTGCTCCTGGGCCTCAGCTTGGTTGCTCTTTGGGTGTGATACAGTTACTTGCCTGTGGAGTGCTCAGTCATGTTCATGTTAAACATCGGAATGTAGCTAGCATTTAATGAACACACCTATTATTGCCAGGCAAAATGTTGGGGTCACCTAGCTTTTATTACTGAAATACAAGCTCCACAGAGAACGGGCGTGTTTGTCTTTTTTGTTCTAGACTGTATCTCCAGTACTTTTGGAAAGTGCCTGGAACTAGTTGGCTGTCAATAAATGTTTATTGAATGAATTGTCAGGACTTGTAATTAATTATATAGAGAGTTGGGGTTGAATGGGTAGTAAGCAGCAAGCATGAATCCCAAGTTTGGCATGAGTAATGGGATGAATGCTAGCACCATGTATTAATATGGAGAATACTGGAAGAGAAGCAAGTTTGAGAGAGAAAATAAGTTTAGTTTTGAATATGTTGAGTTTCAGATGCCTGTAAAATATGCAAATAGAGCTGTTGACTAGGCAGCTGCTGAGTATATACAGTTGTACTAATAAAGCTCAGTGAAAAGATCCTTAGGCCTGATATGGTAGCTCACATCTGTACCTGCACTTTGGTGCCAAGGTAGGAGGATTGCTTGAGGCCAGGAGTCCGAGACCAGCCTGGGCAGCATAGCAAGACCCTGTCTCTACATATAAATAAAAATGAGCAATATGTAATGGTCCACACTTGTAGTCTTAGCTACTCAGGAGGCTGAGGCAGGAGGATCCCTTAAGCCCAGGAGTTTGGAAGCTGTGTTGAGCTATGATCATGCCACTGTACTCCAGCCTGGACAACAGAGTGAAGACTATCTCTTAAAAAGAAAAAGAGGCCGGGCGCGGTGACTGACGCCTATAATCCCAGCACTTTGGGAGGCTGAGGCGGGCGGATCATGAGGTCAGGAGTTTGAGATCAGCCTGGCCAACATGGTAAAACCCCATGTCTACTAAAAATACAAAAATTAGCCAGGCGTGATGGCATGTGCCTGTAGTCCCAGCTGCTCAAGAGATTGAGGCAGAAGAATCACTTGAACCCGGGAGGTTGCAGTGAGCCAAGATTGTGCCACTGCACTCCAGCCTGGGTGACAGAGCAAGACTCTGTCCAAAAAAAGAAAAAGAAAAAGAAAGATCCTATCTAGAGATACACAGTTGTTATTCGCTAGCTCCTAAAACAGATGGATTTAAACCTAAGAGTGAGTGAGATTGCTTACAGTGAAGGAGGATATAGAGGGGCAGGAAAAGAGAGTCTAAAATTGAGTCATGAAAAAGTAATATTTAAAGATGTTGTAGGCCGGGTGCAGTGGCTCACACCTGTAATCCTGGCACTTTGGGAAGCTGAGGCGGGCAGATCATGAGGTCAGGAGATCAGACCATCCTGGCTAACACGGTGAAACCCCATCTCTACTAAAAATACAAAAAATTGGCCAGGCGTGGTGGTGGGTGCCTGTAGTCCCAGCTACTTAGGAGGCTGAGGCAGGAGAATTATGTGAACCAGGGAGGCGGACGTTGCAGTGAGCTGATACTGTGCCACCGAACTCCAGCCTGGGCAACAGAGCGAGACTCCATCTCAAAAAAAAAAAAAAAAAAAAGATTTTGTAGAAGAGGAGCCCCTGATGATTCTGTTTAATGGTCAGACATATTTGAGCAAAACCAGGAAAGTGAAGGTAATAGAAGCTAAAGGAAGAAAATGTGTCACTTGAATTCTGGCACTCTGAATTAAAAAACAAAAAAGTCGGGGCCGGGCGTGGTGGCTCACGCCTGTAATCCCAGCACTTTGGGAGGCCGAGGCGGGTGAAACACGAGATCAGGAGGTCGAGAGTTCTTGTTGGTTTGTTTTAAAAGATGGAAGATAATTAGAGCATGTTTTAATACTCCTGGAAATAATCCAGTCGAAAAAGTTCGAAGGTACGGGGGAGATGGCTAAGAGGGAGGAGAATGGAAGAGGTTCCAAGGTTGAAAAAAGGTGGAGAAGGTCTAGAATAAGCAGAGAAGAGGAGAGATGCTAGCTAGAGAAATACAGTAACATTGCTTGGTAAGTTTAGGTGCTCAATTGACACCAACAATTGTGAGTTTATAGTGAAGCCTTGTCTGGTACTCTCGTAACCCTATTTTTTCCACTGGTCTTCATCAGGTACAGACATGGAAAAGACAGATAGGGAAATGTACCCAAGGTTGGAATTTGTTGGGCAGTTGCAGAGAAAGGACTCTGTTATCATCAAAGACATGAAATTTAATATAAATGACAATTTGTAATAAATGTATTTTATTATTTATATTAATTTAATATAAATATAAGAAATGAATGGGGCTAATGAACATGAAGAAAGTGGAGGAGTTAGATTAGAGGTCCTGATGAAGTTAAAACAGTTGCAATAGTCACTTCGGCGTTTTGAATTAGTGATCATGGAAGTGGAACAGTTTTGAGCTGGTAACAAGGTTCAGGGTTTGACGATGGGC